GCCAAACCCTCCCCCAGGAGCCTCCCAGGCTGTAGAGAGTTCTGGACTCCCCCAGACTCCATTGCTCCTTAGCCACAGGGAGAGGGGTTATTGTGCAGGGATCTGCTACTCTCTTGTCTTCCGGCTCCCACTAAGCCCCTCCCCCTGCACCCGGGCCACCCAGACATCTTCTGTATCTGAATTTACTTTGAAGATATTGTCTGACCCGTTTTGTTCCTGTCTTGTTGAAGTGACCATTCTTAGGGAGAGGAAAATTTGTAACGAATCTCTCTGAAGTCTTGCCATGGCCCCATCAGGAATACTTTAAAGCAGCTGTAGATAGTGATGCCAGGTGACTTCAGTCTAGCTGTTTATCCTGGTATTCGAGGTCTGTGTGAGTTAAGTGCCCAGACAGAATTAGAGTAGTATCTTTGCCCCTCCTTTTGTGCCTGTAGGCTACAGCATGGCGCTTACTTAATTGCAAGATTCCTCATTTTGAATCCAGGCAGTGCCCAACTCCACCAACAGCCAGGAGGACAATGAGGGAGGGGCCTGACAGACTTGAATTGGAGAACTCTGAGAAGAGCTACCTTCCAAGGAGTTTTTCCATTCTTACCTCTGAGAGAGTTTTTTTTCCAGAGTGGGTCCCTATTTTACATTTGGGTTCAGTATGATAAAAATTATTTCATTAAATACTATACTGCATTTCTGCCCTGCAGCCCAGTCAGCATGCGTATGTGCAGCTATTGCAGTGGCAAGCCTAGCATTTTACCTGCTTTCAGCAACAACCTGGAATTCCTTTGAGGAAAGACTTGCTCTTTGGGGGATATCCTAAAGTAAAATGTGGCGGTACTTGATCTGTTATTCCTTCGCATACGTATGGTTTGGGTCTTCAGTCTTTTGCATCATAAACTTGTGGTATGCCCTCATTCAAGAGTAATTCTGTGGCAATTTAGCTTTGAAATTACATCTGTAATATCTATCTTTTTTTACAGTTCCTAAACGACGCAGACCTGCTCGGTCAATATTCGATGGTTTTCGAGATTTTCAAACAGAAACCAGTAAGTATCTGTGGTCCTTTATGGTAGGATTTCTTCTGGCATCACTCAAAGGGTCCCAGTCAGACTTCAGTAATATCCTATTCACAATGACACTACTTTTAAATAACCAGTACTCTGTTGTACAGCCGCATGTTTTGACTTTGCTTGGTCTCAGTGTGCTTTGAAGTCTCTGACAAAAGATATACAAATTGAGGCATCTGTGTTGAAATTTAGTAACGTGCTGGGAAGTGATGGACTAAACTAAATACGATAGCATTTAGTATTCCATTGTTCTGTTTCTCCAAAGGAAGATGTTCTAAAATGTTTGTTGGTCACATGAACAATGGCTCATGTTGGTGCATAAAAAGTGGTCTCTATGGCTCCATGGTCACCAGCATGGCTGAAATAGGAGGAACAAATGACCTTTTCTCTGTTACTGTGGAGTGGGTTACTAAAAGTGATTAATATTGCAGGAAGTGTTTACTCTTTCCTGGAATTCGACTAAATGCCTGAGAATCTGGACAAATTTCACCCTGTCAATAGTAGCTCTTGAACAAGGATATGTGATTCAGTTACACATTCCTCTTTCATCTAACATCATAAAATTCAATAGATACGTGAATACTCCAAAAGCTTTTTCACCTAAGTGAAAGCTGGAAACGTAATAGTTAAAGATTGACACTAATCTGGCCTTAAATATTTGCAGACATGTTTCCAGGGGCTGCAAAATACTGATATTTACAGGAACCTCATATACTTTGGGCCTCTGCACACTTGCTTGTGTCCAGTGGAGAGTTGGCTGACCACATGGTATTAGCTCCCTGCTTCCAGCTGCTAATTTGCATAAAATACTCTGTGCATTTGCTTTTTTTAGGTAAGCAATTGCTGTAATTTCTCCCCACCCCCCAGATTTCATATTATCACGTATGGGCACAGAAGGTGGTCTCCATGGTCATGAATGGGAGAGGTGGTATCCACAAGATGGGGGACGTTAAGTAGCGATTAATTTGCTAGTTGAGTAGTCGATGGAATTTCCATCGACTAGTTGATAGGCACTTCCGCATTCCACCTTTGAAATGTACAAGAGCCTCGGCGGGGGCTCTTGTGTATTTCAAAGTTGGAACACTGCGTGGAGCCCAGGGCCAGCGGGAAGTCCCACTGATTCTGGGCTCCATGTGTGTGCTTCCACTTTGAAATTCACAAGAGCCCCCATAGGCTCTTGTGCATTTCAAAGAGTAAGCACTCACTTGGAGCCCAGAGTCAGAGGGACTTCCTGCTGGCCCCAGGCTGCATGTGCGTGCCAGCTTTGAAATGTACTATTTGCATAGCTGAAGTAAATTGATGTTGGGGGTTAGTATAGACAAGGCTTCAGACACATAGTTCTACCAAGCTAATCCTGTGTGTAGACCACTGTGAAGTCAACAGAAGAATTCTCCCCTCAAACTAGCTTCCTCTCTTGCAAGGAGGTGGATTATCTGTCCTGACAAGAGAAGCCTTTCAGTCACTGTAGGTAGTGTCTACACTGAAGCACTCCAGCAATGCAGCTACCGCTAGAGCTGTCCGTTGGGACAAGCCATCCCTTGGGATGGTGAATTGGGATAATCATTGCAGGCCCCATGCTTTGGGAGGCCCCATGCATAGATAAAATTATGAGAAGGAGAATGGGGAGGTGGATTGGGAGGGAGGCAGGCAGATGAGTGGGGTGAGGAGGCAGGTGGGCGGGCATGCTGTGAGGAGCAGCAGAACAGCAGTCAGGTGGACGGGAGGACAGATGGCAAGGAAACTAGGGGGAAAGTGAGTAGTGGCTGGGCAGCTAGGCACTTTACTACATTAAGGACACTAGCAGCGAGGCTGATTTGTCCCAGGCCATAGGCGCTGACTCCATGCTTGCTCTGGGGCTGGAGCACCCATGGAAAAAAAAAATATGGATGCAAAACAGCCAATTTGCTAGTTGAGTAGTCGATGGAATTTCCATCGACTAGTTGATAGGCACTTCCGCATTCCACCTTTGAAATGTACAAGAGCCTCGGCGGGGGCTCTTGTGTATTTCAAAGTTGGAACACTGCGTGGAGCCCAGGGCCAGCGGGAAGTCCCACTGATTCTGGGCTCCATGTGTGTGCTTCCACTTTGAAATTCACAAGAGCCCCAACAGGAGATGGAGCCTGGGGTCAGTGGGGGTCTCAGAGTACCTTGTGGGCCTTGGGCTTCATGCCTCGCTTCCTCTTTGAAATGTATGAGAGCCCCCTGCTGTGGACTCTTGTACATTTCAAAGCTGGTGAGCCGCATGTAGCCCGAGGTCCGCTCCAGCTGATCCTGGGCTCCAAGCGGTGCTGCTGCTTTGAAATGCCACATGCAGCCTGATGCCAGGCTCCCCGCGGCATTCCAAGCATCAGCACCGCACGGAGCAGCTGACCCCAGGCTTTGTGCAGTGCTGCCACTTTTAAGTACCTCTCTCTTTTCCATTCCCCTTGCTGCCTCTGATAGGCAGCAAGGTGGGGGGAGCAACTAGTCGACTATCAGATAAGCTATCTGATAAGCATTTGCTTATCAGGTTGTTGACTAGTGTTACAGGCAGAGTCTGAGACCCTCTGACATATAAGAGGTTTCAATAATTAAGTTAATCAGTGACAGGATTTAGCATTAAATGTGAGTTTCAGAGAAACTTCTGTTTCTATGAAGAAATATCTGACTGTCCAAAGGGTCCTTTGTTTATGAAGGTCAAACTGAGGGAACAAGTCAGACTAGAAATATTTTTGGATATAGATCAGTATTTGAAAAATAGGAGCCTAAAGTTAGACAACTGAATCCATATCTGGGCACCAGAATAAGTGGCCTGATTTTTTTTTTTTTTTTTTTTCCGGAAGCACGGAGTGTATAGCACACCGCACTCATGTGCGTTTTACTGCCAAGATACATTTAAATCAATGAGAGTGGAGTATTGAGCACTTAGTTGCCATGTCATGGATTTAAGACCTTGTCCTTAGGGTCCTGTGTGTTTTAAAAAAAAATAAAAATAAAACACACCCCACCTTAGCCTGTGGCCTTTATAACCTTGTAAAATGAGGCCAGCCAGGTGAATTTGTATGTAGGGAATGGGGATGTGATGGAATGCACCATTGTGAGTGTTTTGTCTAATTCAATGCCTGTTCCTCTCTGGGCTGCGTAGTTCGACAGGAACAGGAATTGCGGAATGGAGGTGCAATCGATAAGAAACTCACTACTCTCGCAGACCTCTTCAGGCCTCCCATCGATCTAATGCACAAAGGCAGCTTTGAAACGGTAAGTTCCAAGTTACAAGAAAACAAATAGTCTAAGTATTGGCAGCTAGCACCTTGCATGTTGGTGATTGAATGAGTTGTACGGGACTGATCTCCTTAGCAACTAGAGACTGAGTTTCTAAAAAGGGTGGGTGTGTTCTCCCGTTCTTTTCCCAGGCCTGCTTGCTTTTCCTTGTTACATTTTAAATGTGAAGTTGAGCAGATGCAGCTGGTGAAAGATTTCAGTGCACGAGTGAAATGATTAGGCTGGAAATATCCTAGTCCCTTAAATTTAGCTGTGGCTAAAGGCTTTATGTACAGCCACGCTGGGTAGAGGATTTCTGCGTGGAAGTGTGATGCTGAGGTCAAGTATCATCTTCATTAATATCCACCCTCCTCTTGAGCACTCAAATTGCTGGTGCTCCTGCCTCTCACTTTCGTCGTCAGCGCTCTGCTCTTCTCCCTCGGTGCACTGAACCCTTGAGAGTGGATGAGGTAGCACAAAACAGGTCTCTAACTGCTTCTAAGTCTGCGCCTTGACTCATGACCCCTACCTCTTTGTTCATTTTTACAAATGTGACTGCATCTGGCATCTCACCCTGGTGTCCCAACAGCTCTCGTGTAATGTGGCAAAGATGAGATGGGAAGCTTAGTGGGGCAGGGACCATCTCTTCTGTTCTGTTTGCACAGCCTGGGGAGTCCTGATCCATAGCCGGGGTCCTAGAGGAACCCAACTTTCCCCCTCCCCAACGTTCTCCTGTCCATCTGCTAACCACTGTCTTTGCTTCCATGTTCTTTGACCTCTTCTCTCTTTGATGCCACTCCCAGCCTGGAACAGCCTCTACCCTTTTGTGTACCTAGTGACCACACAGCTTCCAGTCCCTCCTCAAAAGTCACTTCTAGTTATCTGCAACTCAGACACACCTAGCTTACCCCCTCCATGCACCTTACTGGATAATACAGTTATGAAATCTAGTAAAGCTAATGTGGCTATTATAATGGTCATAAGCTAAAGTTTTTGCCTCCAGAAGTATCTGAGAACAAATGTTTGACTGCTTGTGCCTTTGGGTCTTGGTATTTTCTTCTTTAAATATATATTTAGATCATTTGGTCCTGTATTAGTTTCTAAATTCTTCATGGGAGAAGCCATAACTAGTTTTATAGAGAAGTTCTGTGAATTTTACACAGATGATAGCAGAAGTGACAGTGTCTACTCCAGAGAAGGTTGTATGTGCCTTTCTGGTCATATTCAGTCTCATGTTTTCAATGCTTCAGGTTTTTGTAGCTCATCTCTTTGGGCTGAAATTTTCTAGTTTTCATCTGAAACTTAAATTAACTCACTACTTTTTTTTTTGAGGGTTTTTTTGGTCACAACTAGTCATTTTTAAATATGCAGCGAGAGAGGGGGGATTTTTTTTCAGCTGTTAAAAAATAAATACAATTAAATCTCAACTTTTTGCACCAGCCATTCCCCTACCCTGGTCTAAAGAGTTTAGAAAAAATTTTCTATAGGAAGTAGCTTTTGTTGAGGGGATGGGGAAAAGGCCTTCAGCGAGCATTGACATGTTTGATCAAGTGGTGACCTGCTCTTTGATCAGTACACTTCACATAGGGTTTGTTGCTAACTGCACGTGGCTAACTTGGGTATGTAGGTTAAGGCGAGGATTCCAGAAGAACCCCAATTTAGTCCCATAGACCAGTGGTTCTCATCCAAGGTTTTGCATCCTTCTGGGGATATGCAGAGGTCTTCCAGGAAGCACATGAACTCATCTTGATTTTTGTAACAACCTACATAAGAGCATTAGCGAAGTCAGTGCAATCTAACATTTCAAACATAAGTTGTTTTTTACGGCTGTGTATACTATGCACTGAAATGTAAGTACAATACTTGTATTCCATTTGATTTATTTTATAATGATATGGTTAAAACGAGAAGGTAAGCAGTGTTTCAGGATTAGTGTGCTGTGACATGTTTGTATTTTTGTCTGAGCTTTGTAAGCAAGTAGTTAAGTGAGGTCTAACTTAAAATCATAGAATGCTAGAACTGGAAGGGATCGCAAGAGGTCATAGAGTCCAGTCCCCTGCCCTCACGGCAGGACCAAGCATCGTTTAGATCACCATCAAGTAACTTGGGAGCATGCAAGACCTGAAAAAGGTACAGTCTCCTGAAAGGGGTACAGTTGTCTGGAAAGGCTGAGAACCACTGCTGTAGTGGGAGCTCCTGTACACAAACACCCAAAGGTTTGCAGAAAAGGGCTCCCTGCAGCTTCTTGTGTTTCTGGAGAAGGGCTCCTCAGTACAGTACTTCAGCCAACGGGAGTGCCTATTGACGCTTTGTTTATCTAAGCGCTTCACAGCCCACCAGCAGCTCACAATCCAGCTTTGAAAACCAATGCTGGAGAGTACTTGAGGGTGAGGGAAATATGCATGAAGAGAGTGTGAAGATGAGAATTGAGAGGTTTGGGGACAGGCCGATGGGGTTAGCCATGCTTTAAAGGAGCATAGAGTTTTGCTGGATAGCTCTTGAGAAGATTATTCATAAACACTTGGTTTTATCCTATTTCCAAAAACACTTTTATGTGTCCTAGGCTTGTCCTCTTCACCACCCCCCAAAGCATTGTAGGCATAATTAGCAGTATCTGCTCAGGACACATGTGAAGCTGGCATAGCTAGGAATTAGGGATGGGAATAGGTAAACTGGTACTCACCGGGTATTGGTTAACTCTTACTCAGGAGCAGTGCTGCGGGCTTAATAAAAACATTTTTTTATCAAGTGCAAACAGCAGGATTTAAGTGGCTGCAAGTGAAAACAGACAGCTCAAAGTAAGTTGCTAAATTAAAACGAAAATGCAGAGTTAGGTCTAATCTATCAGGCCCACTGTAAATAATTGTTACTTGTGGGGAATGATCTGCATGCTGGTCTCTCTTTCAAGGGCGACCATCCTCATGAGCTTTCCCAATGTAAAATGTTACACAGAGTGTGATGGATTTGTTTGGGGGTTTGACCCCTTTGGGGGGGTTGGTTTCCTGGCTGCTATGCCCTAGGACTGAGCTGAGGGAGTTCAGTGTTTGCGTTGCTCCTCAGGGGGGTGGTAATCCCAACTCTGTGCCTGGTCTGGGGGAGTCCAGAGGATCTGGCCCAGCAGGTCAAGGTTGCATGGTGCCCCAGAGAGCAAGAAGGTGGGTGTCAGTAGCATGATCAGCACAGCGGGGAACAATCCAAAGGTGTCTTCTGGGACTGCACCCTGTCACATGCTGCATGGTTGTTTTTTTATTCACAAACTTTAAAGGGGAAAGTGACTGTATTTGAGTGGAGGGGAGTGAAACTGACTACACAAAATATTGCCCCATGCACATAAAAGTAGAAAAATGACTCTCCCATTCTGAATTTTTTACAATAATTTAGACGTTGTGACAAGAAAAATAGGGAAACAGACAGGATGGACTTAGTTGGTGTCCTTGGAACCTAGGACAGTTGGGGTCAGAGTGCACGACAGGAACTGGAGCTCTTGAGTCTCAATATATATATATATATATATATATTTTCAAGGATGGATTTCCCCCACACAGTAGGCAAGTCTTTGTTCCAAAAATTAGGCATCCAAATCTCTATTTAAGTTCTTAAATAAAAAGCTTGTCTCTTTCGGAGCTGGTGACCATATTGAAAAATCCAGCCACTTACTTAGATTCTCTTTCTGTTTAAATAACTGCCCGAGGAATGTTGTGAGGATTAACTAATGAATAAGAAGCTTTTTTAAAAATGGCGGAAGTGCTTATTATGTGATTATGCAAAAGTACTGGCATATGCTAATGGCACCTAATTCCTGACTATTGTCCTTTTAAGTGAATGGAAATTAGGCCACAGTTGATGTCACCTGGCCATACAGAAATCTGATTATCTAGATATTTAATCTGAGGTCCTGTGTACAGTAAGTAAAGTTGAACCAGCTTTCTTTAACACATACAGGGCCTAACTGAATTATCAATTAAATGTGGAGTAGTATCATTGGAATGGTAACGCTAAGGCTTTACATGTAAAATTCATGGACTGAGTCGGTCGAGTACAGGAAACTTCATTCTAAAAGTTAAAGTTTAGGTTCTGACAAAACCAGTAAAATCTGGTGAAATACCCTAAACCCTTGAATTTATCATTTTTTCCCCTCCTTGTGAGTAATGCAATTAGTGCAAACTCATGTGAGTAAATCTCCTTTTGAGGAAAGTTCATCCCTCTTTCCAACTTATCCTGGAGATATGAGCATTCCTACTTTTGATAAAGCCCTCTTTTTTTCAACAGGTATGACAATTCAGCGATCAGAATTACATTCTTGATCAAACTCCTACCATTAACTTGCAACAGCCAATCAGACAATGCCAGCTTTGTGACTCAAACCAGTAAGATCTCTTCCTGTGACTTCAAACCCTCCGAGCGGCCCCTCCCCAACACTTGCAGTCTGAATGAGCATCAGAAAAGGATTTGTCCATCAGACCACAATTAAGTTTAATACAAAATCTAAAAAAGGAACAGTGAAAAAGGGGACTGTGGTATAAATTTAAGTCCCTAGTCAGTAGCTTGAGCCTTGTTGATACAGAAAATAGGGTTCACAAATTTTTCTTTGAGTAACCAGGTCCTTATCAAATGCGACTCACTGCACTCTTGTTTTCTCTGCACAAATACTTCAGAATTTTTCTACTTTCAGTCTTTTGCCTCTCAAATTGCTTCTAGTCCCCTGCCCTTTTGGGCTTGCCTTGTTGAACTCAGTTAATCAAATGTAATTTAAAAAATTAGCCAACTTGAATTGCAGTTAAAGCAGGTCTTTTAGCCCTGCCCTCTGTCTGTCAGGTGTTAAAGTTGAGTCCTAGTGCTAGTCCTACTCCTCCTTTCTACAGTGAAGAGGTTTTGGTGAAGCCTGGTGTACCAATAGAACTTACCATTGCTGGCATTGTTTCTGTCTCGTCTTTTATTGTTTACGTAATGTATATTTTTCCCTTCTGCTTCCAGGCCAAAGAGTGTGGTCAGATGCAGAATAAATGGCTCATGATTAACATCCAGAATGTGCAGGACTTCGCATGTCAGTGTCTCAACCGTGATGTCTGGAGCAATGAGGCTGTGAAGAACATTATCCGTGAGCATTTCATTTTTTGGCAGGTGAGTGGATAATAGAGGTAAGTTGCTATTACAGGGAAAACAAAACAAATCTTTTGTAGTTTATAAACAAAACTCAGTGCTTCCAAGAAATGCCAAGAGAGATTGAACTGCTGATTTTACCTTGGATTACTGAAATGTGTATATTAAAAATATCATTTAAAAAGCCACATGTTAAGTTCAAAGCTAGTCTTTTTTTAAATCCATGACCTTTCTGTGCTAACAAACTCCATGTACTAATGTTTGGAGAATTAATGGGAACTCTATATATACAGAGTGTAGCATATATGGTAAAATAAAGCCACATTTTGTTCAGTTTGAAGCATCAATTTTTTTCTAATGTGATCTTCTGTAGGTATACCATGACAGTGAGGAAGGACAAAGATACATACAATTTTACAAACTGGCAGATTTTCCTTATGTTTCCATTCTGGACCCAAGAACAGGTAAGCTAAAGGACAATACATACAGACTCGTTAACTAAACATTCCAGACTACAATCCTATAGGTTGAAATACGTAAATTCCTTGTAACGTTCCAAGTGTCTGTGTACACACAGCAGCATTTTCTGAGAATCACCAAAGTTGTTCAAGATTATGACCTAAAAATCTATCAAAAGAACTAAATGAATACAAATCCAAGTTGTGCACAAATTTTGTGTAATAACACTTGATTTCAGTTTAGCTTGCTGAATTTCTGTGAATTTGAAAAATAAAATTGATAGCATGTTGTGGCCAAATCATGAATTGGCTTTGAGGTACCCTTTAAGGGCCATTTGAAACGGATATAAAACGTTTTACTTGTACTATTAAAAACACCGTAAACCATTAAAGATGAAATAATTATAAGTCTTTGTTCACTCCCTAGTGGTGCTTTTTGTCTATTATTTTCATTTCTCTGCTTGAACAATGCAAATCTAAAGTCAGTTTTTTGCTTTAGTGTCTTAATCTGCAAACTGACCTGAAGAAGAACTCTGTGTCGCTTAAAAGCTTGCAAATGTCACCAACAGAATTTGGTCCAATTAAAAAATACTCTTATGCCCCTTGTGTGTGTCTCATCCTGAGACCAACATGCCTAAAGTCCTGAAAATCAAAAGTTTGTCATAGTAGCATGTTAGTCACAACTTAATCTTCAAATATCACTGCAGGCTTTTGTATAATTGACTGATCCTGGCTTTGACCTTTTCTGGAATGCTGGACAAAACTTACTGTTTTGGGTTTTTGCAAGGTCTCCAAATCTTCTGTTTCTCTTCACTACCTCAAAACCATTATTGATCTTCAGCTTCCTCATATTGAATTGTTGGTTTTGGAAATGAGTGCTGGCTTGAGGTTTCTTAATGTCTGCATTACTGGCACTCATGCTGGGGTAATCCTTCCGACTTCTACTTCTAAGTTACAACAATATCTTCTCCCTTTTGGAAGAAGCAATAGAATTGAATTGCAACTCACTTCAGAGTCTTTGCTCTAAGCCCATTGAGAATTCAGACCTCGCTGTTCTGTATAGTACCAGTCACTTAGTACGTGGCTGTAGTAAAATCAGGTTCTGAAATCTACTTCCTTTCCTTTGCTGGGCTTTTTATTGCAAGCTTTAGAAAGTCCTTGCAGTTATAGTAGGCTTGTTCCATTTAACCTGCTGTTGTATGAAATGAAGCCTTAGTTACTTCTGCTTCTCCCACTTTGTAGTCTTCCCTTTTATTCCTTTTTTATTTATTATTTTTAGGTATAAAACAAACGTGCATTGTAGTGTGAGACTTATTTCCATAAACTTAACTGGTGGGGTTGAGCGATCCATCCAGGCAGCAGACTGAATTATGCAGCCTGAAGAAATGGTAGCTAGGACTGTGTTTTCTCAACTTGATTTTTGCTATTCCAGTCACTGTGTGTAGCCTGCACACAGCCTTGCATACAGGAGAGAAGGCGCTTTCACTGGAGACAGGCTTATATCTGTAGCTTGGTAGGGCCTTGAAGGTAGCTCTCTAGATGTGTAGACTTTGGCAATAAGGAAACAGCTTATCTTTAGCATACAAAAAACTAGCAAACTTACTCGGCATTACCTAGGTGCGTCAGGACAGGGGGCTTGGCTTTGTGGGGCATGCTGGACTCAGGGCAGGGCCTTGGGGATGTGGGGGCCTGTGCAGGGGAAGGGGGGGGGTGCAGGGTTTAATCCACCAGGAGTGTATTCTCTCCCCAGGATCCCCTCTTCTGTCCCCACCCCCCAGTCCATCAGAGGCCTTTTTTTCTTCCCCCGTCCCCAGTGTGCTGGCAGGCAAGATGGATGAAGCCCCCTTGGTGGTACGGTTTCCCTGCCCCCAGTGACAATTCTGCAGAATAGCTCTCCCCAACAGGCTCGTTGCTCCCAGTGGCCACTGCTCTATCACGTCCCTCCAGACAGCAGCTCCTGCCTGTGCATGTTATGGAAAACCGTCCCTTTCCCAGGACTTCCGGCTGTCCTGGCACAACCAACCCCTGACCTTGCTTCCAGTAAGAAGAGGAAGCTGCCTGGCAAATTTGGTGGGCCTAGCTCTTGCCGTAGTCAGTCAGACAGATGCACTCTAAAATAAGGTCCTCCATAAATCTGTATTTACCTCCTCAACACCTCATCAGTTGTGCAGAGCCAGACCTGGCCTATTACAAACTAGGTGTTACGTGGTTTAAGCTACATTTGTTTTACGCTCCTAGTGGCTTAGCAAAAATCTCTTGAGGGTCTCCCTCAGTGAAACAGGGTCACGTGTTCCTATCCGTTCCATAGGCCAGAAATTAGTCGAGTGGCACCAACTGGATGTAACTTCTTTCTTGGACCAAGTGACTGGTTTCCTGGGTGAGCATGGGCAACTGGATGGACATTCTACCAGCCCTCCCCAAAAATATTCCCTCACTTGTGTCTGGTCCAGTAGAACCTCTTACCCCACTGCATGGGAAATATAAATAGACTTGTGTGAACTAGCGAGTGAGTAAATTGCAGAGAAATACTTTTCTCTCCTTTTAATCTGTAGTTTGCTTTGCTGTATAATCTGTAGTGTGTGTTGTCACACCATAGTAATGTGAGCTGTCTGTATGAATGGCTGGGTAAAAGTGAGAGTGTCTGGTCCAGTAGAACCTCTTACCCCACTGCATGGGAAATATAAATAGACTTGTGTGAACTAGCGAGTGAGTAAATTGCAGAGAAATACTTTTCTCTCCTTTTAATCTGTAGTTTGCTTTGCTGTATAATCTGTAGTGTGTGTTGTCACACCATAGTAATGTGAGCTGTCTGTATGAATGGCTGGGTAAAAGTGAGAGGTTTGTTGGATGTGAATTATGAGGTGTAAAGATTAGAACAGGTGCACTATAATCCTCAATAGAACATCGCCCCTTTCAAGATGATGATACTTCTGTCACTCTTTAAGCAATTGTTTTCCTACTAATTGTACCCCAGACCTGGATGCTTAGAGTTTCCAGAGCTTTTTGTGAGCAGCTACCCTAAAACCCAACCCCCTGGCTGTACCTTGTGCACAGCTTTCTATGTGTCTTTTCAGTGATTCTTCAGTATAAGATAATGTGGGATCAAATTTGCTACAAACAAATTTAAGGAGCTGCGAGCAGAGAACAGACCCAAATTACTGAGTGACCTGGAAGGACTGGGTCGGCAGCTAAAGAATATTTGGGACTTGAAATGTCAACTCTTGTACCCTGGGAGAGGCAGAGATTAATCCAGCTGCTGCACAGGTCACATTAAAAGAGTGGTCCCCAAACTGTGTGGACAGTCCCTTAGTGGGGTGGAGAGGAACATTGGGGGGTACGGTGGGACCCAGCTAGGCCTTCTCCCCCTGGGTGATCAGCTACTGGCTGCAGCTCCAGCCTCTGCCCCCTTACCCTGTCTGCTCCCGCTCCCGGGAACACTCACCTTAGCTCCTGACTCAGGCTTCTGGGCGATGGAAGGCAGCAGGGTAAGGTGGACGTGACGTGGAAAATGTGGGTGCTTATTAGAACTTGCCTCTTTATTATAGATCTGAGTATTTTTCCATGCAGGCAAATACTGTAGCTGCCACATGGGAATCAAGTCTGTCCAGTTGGAAGAGAGCAGGTGATCCACCAAATCATAGAGGTTTGGGAATTAGTAGTCAGCACTGCTTTGGAGAATACAGTGGTGTGGGGGGAAGGGCAAAATGTCAGTTGTGGCGGGTTTATGTATTTCTCAAAGGAGAAATACTGAAGGACTTTAAAATTGTCCAACAGTTGGCTGCTGTGCCATTTAATCATTACACACCTACCCTATCCCACCAGAGACCCCTTGGTTACAGCCCCGTAATCCCTGGATATGCACTCTTCGAATACTTGGCTTACTTACATGTTTTTCTTTCACCTCTGATACGGTCGCACCAAACAGGAGAGCCTCATTGATGCTAGTGAGGATAGCCAGATGGAAGCTGCCATCAGGGCCTCCCTGCAGGAGACACATTTTGATTCCTCCCAGGTCAAACAGGACAGCCGATCAGATGAGGAGTCTGAATCGGAGCTTTTTTCTGGAAGTGAGGAATTTATTTCTGTTTGTGGCTCTGATGAGGAAGAGGAGTCGGAGAACCCTGCCAAGTCTAGGAAGTCTCCGCACAAAGATGTGGGGTACAGGAAAGAGGAGAGCCGGAGGCCTCTGCCTGAGCCCCCCGCGAGGACTGAGCCTGGAACAACATCAAACCATCGCGTGGTATCCTGCGTCGAAGCTGAGCTAGTGGAGGGGAATTTATTTCTGTTTGTGGCTCTGATGAGGAAGAGGAGTCGGAGAACCCTGCCAAGTCTAGGAAGTCTCCGCACAAAGATGTGGGGTACAGGAAAGAGGAGAGCCGGAGGCCTCTGCCTGAGCCCCCCGCGAGGACTGAGCCTGGAACAACATCAAACCATCGCGTGGTATCCTGCGTCGAAGCTGAGCTAGTGGAGGAATCGGCTGCCAAGCCTGGCAGTGCAGGGGAGGGATTGGATATGAACGGTGAGCTCCCCCCCGCCCCCCCCTTAAAAGGAAAAGGCAAAGCTTTTTGTTTTCCTAACGAGTATGTTAAGTCCTAATTGAAAGAACACCTGTCTTAATCCTTCCTTAAACTATGCCATTTGGATGCGTCCCTCTGCTGTCAGCAGCTTTTTCTGTGAAATGGCATCTCAGATCCCAGACCCTGGTCATCGTTTGAACTGTGATCCATGTTTCTGCTCCTCTGCGGCCTTTCTGGTAGGGAAATGTGATCGGTGAGGCTCGCACTAGTGAGGCATGCTGCACCATGCACTGATGCAGCATCTCTGCACTGGAGTAGTTGCACTGATGCAGGTTTTCTTAGTGTAGACAGACCTGAAAAGGTGTTTCCTTCCTTCCCAGGCTTTCTGTGCTCTGGGCAGTGGCACAGCAGGCTTCCGCGCAAGTAGAGAGGGGAATGGTACTCACCCCAGTCTGACGTGCAGATAACTATGGTGTCAGCAGGGGGGCTGCATCTTCAGTTGCTTGGCTGGGGTTTCCCTCTGGAGATAGGGCCGGGTAAGAGTCACTGGCTTTAACTGAATCAAAGTTCCTGTCTTCATGACCTTTTTAAAAATACGTTACCAGAAGGTCCTCTTCATGGGTCAGGCTTCGCAACGCCCCTTTAAGACTGCTTATGTTAATTTCCTCTCACAATCCTCTTTTCCCATATAGTGAAGTACACCCTCTAAATCTGCACAAGACCTCCATGCAATGCCCTGCTGTTAACCTGTAGCAACTTGTTTTACACTAGGACCAAAAGCACAGCTGATGCTAAGGTATCCAGATGGAAAGAGGGAACAAATTTCATTACCTGAACAAGCTAAACTTCTGGTAAGTTAAGCCAATTGAGTGGAACAGCTGAAATTTGTGAATACTTCTTTGTATAAAACGACAAAATTAAATGTGGCCAAATATGTAAGTGATTGATATGCATGTGAAGGGGCTTGTGCTACCAGCTGGGTGGTTGCTTCCCTGCTATAGAACTATCTTCCCACATGTGAACACTGCTAGTTCTTCCTTCCCTCTGCCTTTTCCATTCCCTACCCAAGCTCCCCAGCGCCTTCCCTGCTCTGAATGCTGTTGGCTGCTTTCACTTAAGGACCCTTTCCAATGCAGTCCCTTCCCTCTGAGCAACTCAAAGCACTTGGCAAGCATTACGTCCCATCGCACTTCAGTGTTTTCCGTGTTCCTGGTGCGTGTCTGAGCCGTTCCTCAGAACTGCCTGTAGGGAGGCAGTCCTCTGCCAGCAACGTAACATCCCAGAGGAAGGCTGACTGTGCGAAGCCATTGTACTTCTACCAGCCAGACTTGCTCATGAAGTGGGCATCACCGGCAGTTAGCGTGCCAACTCAGGAGACAGAAGAGCCCTTTCTGGAATTCTCCCATGTCCTTTTCTACAATACACAACTGCAGGTGGAGTTTGCTCAGCGCTAGGGTGGGGTGGAGGAGGGTTGCTGTTACCAGGCATCTCCTCACTGATGCACTGTGTGCTTTTCATAGAGGAGCAAGGCATGGAGCTTGCCTATGTCCATTCAACACAGGTGGGAGTGCTCCCCGCGCACGACTGGCCAGAAGACTTCTCTTAGCAGTGCCCACAGAAGGAGCCGGCTCGGGCCCCCTCTTTCTCTCCTGTTGAAAAGTGACCTTTGTTTTCCTACTATCCTTTCCCCTGCCCTATTGGTTTGCCGTGTTGTTGCTTTCTTCTTGCACCCCTTTTAACTACCTCCTGTATTCCTTTCTCTCCAGTCTCCTTTTCCTTGGCTCTGCGCGTGGTGTTCCCTTCCCCTCCTCTCCTGACACAGGCAGGCACCCATCCCGACACAGCCACTGCTGTTTGGGCTTCCTTACAAATGTTTTTCCTTTTCCCTCCCCCTCCTCCAAAGCCCCCACAATGTTGACATTCTAGCGAGAGGCGTGAAGGAGCTCAGAAGAGCAGCTGACAAATATTTGTTTTGAGAATAAGCAGAAGATTAAATTGTAGGTTTAAAAATATGATGAACTCAATATGATCCTGTTCAAGTAACCTAGCAAAGTCACGTCTTTCAAAGAGAATCACTAAACTCTATTTCTAGTGGTGACTGCCAATAAACAACTAAGGAGTTATTTGAATATTTTAGGACTTCCTTGCAGGTGCCATTTTACTGTCTTAATGTGTAGTCCCAAATCCACCATGCTTGTATTAATTTGCTGAGATCCATTTCTCTTCTGGTTAAAGTTTTCATTAGTTAGGGACCCCTTAGTTTAGTGGCGCCCAGCACTTCAGTCCTGGGAGCTATAGAAGTGTGTCGGTGAGACAATAATACAACTAACTCCTTTATTACCAAACTTCTCACTCCATTTCTTTTGTCCACCATGGCAAATTTTAATATTTCAAAGGGAAAGTTGTCTCTGTACTTGATTCTGATGTGAATCAGCCCTTTCTTACCTTTTCCCGTAGGCTCTCGTGAAGCACGTCCAGTCTAAAGGCTACCCTAATGAACGTTTTGAACTTCTCACCAACTTCCCTCGAAGGAAGCTTTCTCATCTGGACTATGACATCACATTGCAAGAGGCTGGCTTGTGTCCGCAAGAGACCGTCTTTGTGCAGGAAAGGAATTAGCACCATGGCCTGAGCTCTCCAAGCCTCCTTCCCACCTCCTCTTTGCCTGTGACTCCAACTCCTGAAGTATGTAGCTGGTCTCATGGGATTGCTGAGCTGATATCGGGCAGACAGACATTTGCCCCTCCTCCCTCTTCCTCCTTGTCTTGTGACCAAATGAAAATTCTGAGAGGTGAGCTTTCCCAGCTTTGGCCTTGGGAAAATCATGCTCTAACTGGAGAGGAACATGCCCTCTCGCAACTGCACATCCCTTTCTTGGAACAAAAGGGGAGTCTGCATACAACATGCTGGGGTTATGGGTGGCCATAACTAACTCGCGCGCGCGCGCACACACACACACACACACACACACGCACGTTTCACTGCTACCCCCAAAAATCTATTTTGTTAATATATTTTATTTTTGAGAAATACCAAGTGGCTAGGCACTGAGTCGTTTCCCTGCAGAGAGAAGTTGTAATTTGCAGTGTTGTTTTCTCTTTTTGGTTTTCTACACACAAGGTCTCCGTTAACCTTGTGAGGGTCCTTGTCATGTCCTCGGCAGAATGCTGAGTGGCTGAGAGGTGTGGCATGTGTGTCGCAGTTCAGGCGGGGGCAGCTTCCCCTTTTTTTTCCGGCTGATGAGGTGACCTCTTGTGTTAAGTGGGGGTGGGCCTGCCAGTGAATTTGGCAGATATCTAGCATGCCCCACGTGGGAATTGGATGCTTGGCCTGGAGCTAAAACCTCCTGTTCTTGCCATTAGAACTCACTCCCTAGAAGCTATTCTTACTCCAGAACGTGGTCAGGACTTTACTGGTGGTGAGAGACTGGAAGAATCTCTCATTTGCTTTAAAGCTTTTGCCATTGTACAATTTAAAAACTAATTTGATTCTGTTTCCTAGGCAATTCCCTTTCCGGGGGCAATAGGACATTCACAAAGCAGGCAGGTTATAAGAACAGTAGGTTCTAGTGCCAGGGTTTCCTTTATTATAAACTGTAAAAGAAAGGTCACGTTTACTGGGTCACATGGTCTGAGGGACTTCAACTCTCCTGGCAATTTGAGCCTGCTGTCCCACTGCCCAGTTGGAATGAAAATGAAGTAGAGGGATTTGTGTCAGTGACAAGTTGTAAGAGTTGTGTGATCCGGGTTTTCTATCTCCCAAAGCGCAAGCCACACACGCACTATGGGTAAGGTATCTGTTAACCAAGCGTAGAACGCAGCATGTAGAACAGGACGGCCCCGGTACTTTCTGCCCTATGTATTCTTTCTGTCCACGTAAGTCTGAGCCGCTCGACAGTCAGTGTTCAAGGCCTTACAGTAGCCTGCAGTGCGCCAGTCCATTTCATGGCTAACTCGTCCTTTTGCAGACACTAGTACTGATGCAGGCTGTTCTTTTGTAACTGATCGTTTGTGCTAGCACATTCTGCAGTGGTGGCGGAAAACAAGCTTCTTCACAAGGGACATAAAATACAGGTAGGTGCACCTGCGAATCAGACAAAACCGTTTTTATAGAGTGAAAGATTAACACCTCCCCCCTCCCACCAGTGGACTCCATTGTGTTTGTCAGAAAATTGTCTCCTGGCATCAGTGTCAAAGAAAAGAATGAATACTGGCAATAACGCTTCCCAAGCCAAAAAAACTCTCCCCGTGGATGGCTAGGAATAGAATGGGGGATAAAACTTTCCCAGATACTTTGCCTTTAATTTCCCTCCAGGTTGCATTCCTATGTTAAAGGATGTTACCTGGGAAATCAGTGACTGCCCGCTCTAGTCCTTGTGGGTCTTTGCAAGCTAACCGTCCTCTTGTCCGTAAGGCTGTGAGTTCTTATGTGTAATTCTATAATTGTATACATATTTATAAGCATATTTATATAAGGCTTTCTGAATGATAATTTGACTAAACGCGTTCACGTCAAGGCCACTTTGAGTTCTACTCCAGAATACAAAAGCCTGCTCTGATCTCTTGTCGCTGTCCAATAGCCGAGTCACACCGGAGGTGATCTTGGGATTCCAAGATGACCAATCATCTGTGTTGTTCTCAGAGGGGACTCTACCAACAGAATTGGCCAGAGAAGAGCTGCAACAGTCCAGAGGGGGGAGTGCATGGGTGGCTGTGGGAGAAGGGGAAATGGTGACTCTGGAATGGAGGCTACCCGGAACCACAAACTACACACTCCCGACGTGGCTGCTCGGCAGAGGCGCGGTGGTGACCAGGGTCATGCACTTCTAGATGCTTTTTCAGAGCCCCAAGACTTACTGTGTAGCCCATATGCCTGGGCTCTTCCTTGTTCACTACATTGATCAAGGCTCCAGGTTTCCATGGCTCTCCCTGATGAGCCCTGAGGCACAGGGAAGTGGGGCGTTGGCAGTTCCACTAGCGCCTGTGTTAAATTGCTGGTTGGGGGCTGTGATCGTTCAGAGCAATATTCAGACTGGCTCTCTGGCCCTTTTTGACATCACATGCTCTGGTGCACAGCTGTAATCTCCCTAAACAGTTCTGTTGTCTCTTCCCAAGCCCCAGTCTTCATTACACTTTGACTCGAGCTGCAAGGCAGTCAGAAGCCTTATCTCTTCTCCCTGCTCAGTTTCAAGGAGCAGGACTTTTACACAGGCTGTCTGCATTAACAAGCTGAATTTGAGTCCTGAGCCATCTTCTAATTCAGCCTTCAGTTGTTAAAAACTGCCCGCCCACCTTTCAAGCAGCCTGGGCTGGCAGAGAAGTCACAGTTGTGCTTTGAAGAGAAGCCCCGCGTGCTTTGCAGTGGGCGAGGTATAAAGAGGAGATCTGCCTCTTACCCGGTCTGGCCGTGGCGCTCCGCACTCGAGTTACCGTAACGTGATGTGCTCTGGGAGCCTGCAGCTAGCTCCCAGTTCACGCGTTTTTAAGCAATCGACCATTTTTAAACAAGCCCAGTTTGGCGGGGAGGGGAGGAGGGGGGGATTTCGTCTGTCAACTGCACTTCTACACCATCCCTTTGCCCAAGGGTACTTTAACCAGGGCGTGATGGAAGTGTATCGACATTCCTGTTCCCTCGGGGATCGCTCAACTGCCACTTGCGCTCCCAAATGTATTTAATGATTTAAGCAAGTTGAAAGTAGCCTTTGGTGGTGAAGGCAGCTGAACTTCCTGGGCTGGGGATCTGAGACTGCCAGATCTCAGAGCTCCAGGGAACCTGAAAGGAAGAAGTAGAAGTGTAAATACATGCCTGGCATGCTACTCTCTGCTGCTGGGAACAATAGTAGCCAAGCATTTGATGGTTTATACGCCACTGCCCAATGAAACTGGCTTCTAATGGGGTTTGGTTGGTGCTTTTTTGAGGACTCTTAAAATGAAGGACCCATGGCACTGTGAGTGGGAGTAGCTGCGGTGGTCACTTGTGCCAGCGCACACCCACTCTGAATGCTTCCTCTTATGAAAGTGAGCTAGCCACCTGTTCAAAGGTGTGAAACGCTCTCCTGCATGCTGGCTGTTGCGTTTACAGGATGATTAGGTGCTGCCAGTTGGGGGCTGAATGGTCGAGTGGTCACGGAATAATCCCTGATCTTTGGGCCAGGCCTGCTAGCATCTCTTCCCAAGAAGCAGTTAGTGCCTCTTCTAGTTGGGTCCTTTATCCTGTCCTTGTAAGCCCCACACTGCAGCCATCAGCTACGTGGCACGGCTAAACATTCTAGTGGGGCCTAGGGATGTAAGCGGCTAGTCGACTATCCAATAAGCTGATGCTTAGCGGGTAGTCGAGTAGTGACTCAACCAGTCACTTCCCCCCGCCTTTGCTGCCTCTGATTGAGGCTTAAGCCAGTCTCCTTCCCCCCCCCCACTCATCTCTGTGGGAGGCAGGGCAGGAAGAGGTGTTGTGGGGGATCAGGCGTGAGCCAGGAATCAGCTGATTCCCAGCTTGTGCCCAGTCCCAGACGCCATGCCTCTGCTTTTTAAATGCATTAAGAGCCGCCATACATTTAAAAAGCAGAAGCTTGGGGGGGGGGGGGGGGGGGAGAAAATTTGTTCCCTCT